TGTAAATGACGAGTTGATGGGTGCTGACGAGTTGATGGGTGCAGCACAGCAACATGGCACAAGTATACATATGTAACAAACCTGCACATGATGCACATGTACCCTAGAACTTAAAGTATAATAATAATAATAAATAAATTAATTAAATTAAATAAATAAATAAAAGCCTTTAAGCAAAGCAGGCAACAGCCAGTTCACTTCCATTCTTCCTACTCTCCTTTTGACGCTCCCCTCTGTCTTCAACATATAAAATAAATGTTATGTAGGTACATGAGTTTGAGACCAGCTGCATCCTTACAAATTACTCTGAAATAACTTTATCAGAAGTTTGTCATCAAGGTCATTATAAACTATGCGATTTTCATGAGTCCCTCTTAACTGACTCTCTCTCGCTTCTCGCCTACCTCCTTTAACCAGAGACACTGCCTTTTTTCACATAATTAGAGATACCTGGCAAAATTAAGTACAGCCTTGGAAAGCTATGATGGGAAGTATATATTCTCCTTGCGGAAAGTAAAAGTGGATTAGGAGTAAAGACCTAGGTTCTAGTCTCTGTTTTCCAAATATCTCACAGAATAACCCTGAGCCAGTATTTTTATCTCTCTAGAGTTCAATTTATTTTCCTTATACAACATACAATGAGCAGATTTCAATTAGATAAACTCTGAACCTGTCCTATATTTTATATATCTATACAAACATTTATACTGAAATAGGCTTTTTCGGCAAGTATAAATTCTTGCTTTGGATGGGGTGCAGAAGGCAGAAGAGTGTGCTAGGGAAATAAGCTGACTTGGTAATTGAAAGGGAAAAGAGAAAGAATGAGAGAAGGGCCTGCCCCTGAGGAGCACAGTCTGACGACAATGAAAAACAAACTTTATGATTTTACTTATGCTTACCTTCTACTAAGTGTATAAAAACAAATTATGGAGATGTGACTATCTAATGCACTATAATGAAAATACTCATCAGCACTGCTTCACAGGGTTTGTCAACTCTTATTTTTAAATATGGCCCACTCTGCTATAATGGAGTTTTGTTCTCAACTTATATATAAATTTGAGTATCAGTGTACTGTCTAAAGTCTTCCTAATCTTATTTGTTCCTTAAAGGAGATTTCAACAAGTGGAGATGGTAAAATCAAAAGAGAAAAATCCACAACAATGTCAATAACAAGAAGCAGCCCTCAAATAGCTAGAATGTATGTGAGGAGTGAGTGTCCCATTAGTAATAAAATGCTTTTTTAAAAAATAAAACAAAAAATGGCAAAGAGCGGATTATGAAGGACTTTGCAAGCAAGGGTCAAGGGCATGAACAGTATCCTGTGGAAAATGAAAAGCCATAAGAGATTTTTAAAACAGAGCGGGTGACTCTATCAAATCTGTGTTTTTGAAAAATAACACTCATGGCAGAGTACATACTATATTTACAAAATAAAGTATAAAATTATTATGTAGGCTGATATTTTACCACAAAATAGTAACATGAAATTGGAATAAAACGCTCATTGAAGCCATAAAATAAATTTCACAAATACTACAGTATTCTTAAAGAAATTAACAGGGGATTATGCCTTGCAAATTCCTTAGGTGAGTAAATAATCACACTTTTAAAAAACTCTCTTTCTTAAGTTCTCACACTACACATGTATACCTTTTTCAAATAAAATTAACACTTTAAGTAATATTTATGGGCATTAGGGCCATGGAATTTTTAAATATTTACCTAACCATTTAGAAAGCACTTAGCATTAAAGGTACAGAAAAATATCTCACACACTAACTTATGCCTTTCAAAACCTTGTATTTACCTACTCAAACACAAAGCGATCTCATTGAAAAGCTGAAAATTGCACTGTAGAATATGCAATTAAAATGGCATAGAAATGTAGCTTGTTCAATTCTTCTCAAAGCTTCTATGCAGAAGACTAATTTTTTTTAACTTCCTATTAGTTTCTGCTGATTCTTGGCAGATAAGACTACAAACTCAGTGCTTCTTTCCATTAACCCACCAAAGCAGAACACCATCGACAGTAACTAGATTTGGGTTTCAAATCTCTAAATGCTTTGCCAAAAAAAAAAAAAAAAAAAAAAAAAAAACCCTTAGTTAAGAACTGAACTGACACATATAGCATTTAAATCAAATATTATAAATCTAATTATAAAATCAAATGTTTTACAAACATGCCATTATTTTTCAACGCAGTAATATAACATCCCAAAAGTTAAAAATTACTTTAAATCTATTATTCTACAATTAAAAACATTTCTATTGATAGACGTTTAAGTGGCTTTCAAAGAGGTTAATAAAAACGTTTAAATTCTTAAGGAAATGAAAATGTGATAATTTTATTACCATCCTAAAAATGAACCCCCATATACTTTTTTAAAGTTCTATCCAAAATAAACAGGATATTTGCTCATCTTTTCCAATTACTATACTTGGAAAGCATAGGTTAGCAAGATCAACATTCAACATTTAAGTAAAACTGCAAGAATTACTGGTTTGTGACATCTTATTTATAGTTTTATTTCTACCTTACCAAAAGTGTAAACTAAAAGAATTTAATTTTAGAAATGGAAGGTATTATATAATTTAATTTTAGAATTAGAAGGTATTACAGAATTCATCTACTAGAATCCCTTAATTTGACAGTATACTAAGATTCTGAAAGGTTCACTGACTTTTCCAAAATTAAACAGTTAAGCCAAAACTCCTCAATCCTCTGCCTATGAATCCAGGACATTTTCCCCTATGTCAGGTCCTATCTAAAATATTTTCATCTTCCTTCACTTTTTGAAACAAGAAAGTGTTTTTACCATTGTCATATACAACACTTTGAAAATTAGAAAAAATCTCCTGATCTTTTACTTCCATAAAAGTACTGATTTCCTCTCAAAATATTTACTATAATATATATGCAAACAAAAAGCACAAATCCACTGTTAGACTTCAGGAACAAGCATAAATAAAAATTCTTGTTATGACAGTATCTGCTAAGTTAAAAATACTCTTTTCTTGCAATGTCAAAATAGAATTATTTTGTAGACACTGAATATTAGGTAGGCATGTATAAACGCTGAACTATTCACATATACTTTAAGTGGGCAAAAATGTTCCTATTAAAAGTAGAATGTGAATAAGGATTTTCTGCACTAAGAAAATACACCCTTTTTAGAAGCACAAATTGTATTTTCCTCTAATATAAACAATAATTGAAGCTACCTGGTACTTAACACTGCACCTAAAGGTTGAAAAAGGTTGCTGTGATGGAAAGAGCACCATACAAGGATTAAGAAGTCTAGAAATTTTCCACTTACAAAAGGACAGACCGAATTAACACCACCAACAAATTACAATTAAAATATGTTAAACTGTAACTGTTAAGTTCAGGAAAATTGCCCACAAAAGTGATGAAACTGCTAAAACAATTTTCCAGTGTTAAAAAATGCAATGTGTTCACATTTGGTCAAAATTTAAATATTAATTCCATTCTATGAAAATAGTTGATACTACTTTGTTCCATAATAAATCCTCTCAAAACAATTTTTCTTCCGACACACATTTTCCTCAAGTACTGTCTATTACCCTGGTAGTAAACTGAGAAAACGAAAGGTATAACAAAACTTTTTCAAGAGGTTGACCACAGAAGTGGCCTCTGAAGCCAACTCAAGAAGCAAAGTATTGTGTCACTGGAACACTACAGATCAGTGTTCAACATGTCATAAAATCAATGTAGTAGCTTAGAAAATATTTCGAAGAGAAGACAGAGAAGAAGTGAAGGAAGAGAACAGAAAAGAAGAGAGAAGAATGCATCAAATGCATTAAGGACAAGAAACTTCTGTCTCCAACATATTGGCTCCCAGTGTAAAGCATATCACTAATCCAAAAATTCTGAAAACCTATGGTTACGCTCTTACTCTCCTACTTAAAACCACTATACTTACCAGTTAGTTGTGCAGAACACAGCATTGAAACTTGAAAAATCTAATCAAATCCCAGAACTACCACTTACTAGACCTATGTGAAGTTGCATTACTTCTATAAGCCTAGATGTCTCATCTCTAGAGGTTAATGGCACCAGCCAAACACCGTTCTTGTGAGGATTTGAGACAGTATGTGTAAAATGTTTTGCACGTCATAAATCCTCAATAATAGTAGCTATACTTATTGAGTTTCTTGTTGATGTAGAACAGGTAGGTTTTCCAATACTATATAAAGATATAATCTCATTTCCTGATGATGATTTCAATCCCTTTAAAAAAATAAAACTATGTAAACCTATGGGGAAAAAATAGGTTTTTTTCTATTGGCATCTTTCCAGAAATTACCAAGTTTAAAGTTTAAACTGTTAAAACATTCTCCTAATTATGCAACAAATACAAAGAACACTGAATTAGTCCGCAAAAAATTATATTCACCTATACTGCTGTATTATCATTTAAATTACTCTCATTTGCAAAGCTCATCACTGTTCTTCTAACGATAAAATCTCAGATTTTTCCTCTTGATTTTCAATAACGAAACCACACTGATTAAAACTCACAGATGTATCCTCTCATTCTAAAGGCTGTATGTTATCTTTGGGCAGGCATCACTATAACAGCAAACAGATAAATGGCACCAAAAAGATACACATCAGAGTATGCCAAAAGCGGGAGTAGTCAAATCTATTCAACCACAAATGATTCACCTCATTCTTCTGCGAACTCATCTATTGCATATACAATCCTTAAAAAGTGTCATGTGATTAGCGGGCTATTTGATTTCTATTCAATGACAAAAGGTACTTGCTTCTGCATTTTTAAAAGGCTTCCTGTATTTTAAGAATCCTTTCCAGAATAAAACATTGTTTCCTCCCCCTCCCCCCCGCCCCCCACACACACCCTTTTTCCATTCTGAAAGTTAACAGGCTTTCAAATAAGCGAACTCAACTCGGAAACTGCAGCGGTAAACCCGAACCCTCTCACATCCCAGACCTCGCTTTCCAGCCAACATACCTGCTCTCTCGAAATACAAGGCAACGAAGGTCTCCTGAATATTTTGCAACTGCCGTAGTAACTGGCTGCAGTTTCTCCTAGCGACACGCAGCTGGACCTCCTCCGGGGTCGGATCACAGGCACTTTTTCTTCGGCGGCACTGGACAGCCGAGGATGAAGAGGCGCTTCCCTGATTTGAAAGAAGTGATCCAACGCCAGGGCCAGCAGGCAGCCAGCGCCCCCCACCAGGCCGGAGAGCAGCGGCCTGAGGGCGGAGGGCAGCGACCCGAGGCTGGTGAAGGAGACCCACCAGACGAAGCTGGCCAGGAGCAGCACCAGGAGGCAGTGCCGGAGCCGCAGAGGGTGCGCGAGCGTCAGCAGCAGCCCCACGCAGCTCAGCACCAGCAGCAACCTGCCGGCCGCCGCCTCCGGGGGCGTGTGCGTGGCCGGGGACCCTGCGTCGCCATCCCCCCAAGGCCAGGACCACCACTGCCACACCAAGAAGTCCCCCAGGTAACAGCAGGCGGGCAGCGCCAGCAGCCACCAGGAGCCGCCGCTCCGGCCCGGGCCGGGTCCCCGCTTGGTCCGGGTGAGGAAGCAGGTGAGGAAGAAGAAGGCACAGGCGATGCTAAAGAGGGGGCTGAGGCTGTGCGAACACACGCTCAGCAGCGTCCGCAGCCAGGCGGCCCCGGCAGCCCAGCTCTCGGGTTCCGCGCCCAGCAGCAGGGCGAGGACAAAGGCAGCCAGGGCGCCCAGCGAGAGGCGCGCCCGGCAGAAGGGGGAGCCGCGCCGCGGCTGCTGGGGGGAGGCCGGCGGCGGCCGCAGCTCCACGTTGCAGAAGCGGCAGAGGTGGAAGAAGAAGCCGCGCGGAGGGTCCTGCCGCAAGGGGCTCACGCAACTCTTCACGTAGCCGTTCCTCAGACTCTCGGGGGGCGAGCCGGCCCCATCTGGCTGCTGCAGGGACCGCATGGCTTTGGCGTCTCGCTCGTCCCTCCTCATGGCTGAGGCCGGGGGTGGCCACGGGACTCAGCACACCCCGCTCCTACCGCAGCGGCCGCTCGCGTTCCCAGACCCCAGCCCCTGCGTTCGGGGCGCCCCCCGACTCACAACCCGTCAGGGCTGCGCCCGCCGCCACGGCCTGAGGTCCCCACCTCGCGGACTGAGGAGCGGCGGAGTCCGGGACATGCTGGCTGAGGAGAGGGGCAGAAGGGGCTTCTCTCCAGGACCAGTTTGGCTGCCGCCTCCTTTTCCCTTGGGCACCTCTCGGGACTGGAGACTCGGTGTCGCCTCCCAGCTCCGCTGGCTGCAACAGTTACCTCACGGCCCCAGCCTGGTCCGTTGGGCGCGCGAGCAGCGGGCGGGCGCTCCTCCCCCGCGGCTGTCGCGGCCGGGCGCGCGCCCGGCGCGCGCTCGCGCCTTGTCCCGCCGCCACCCGCGCCGCCGTCGCCCAACAGGGACGCGAGCTGGGACCCCGCCGACCCGGCGTGCCCGGGCCGAGGAGAGCGCGGCGGAGGCAGTCCGAAGACCGGCCAGGACTAAGAGAGAAGGACGAGGTCTTCTTCGGATGGGAGGGGCAAGCCCGCCATCCTGGGACCCCAGGCGTGCAGGTTCTCTTTGAGGGTAAGTCACAGACACCCAGCCAGAATCCCACAGGTCACTACTGGGGTCGTCGGGAAAGAGGGCGTTTGTGGTCCCCTTTCACTAAGGGGTGTGCTTAGTGGGGATATGGTGAGCTAAGGGTGGGAGGGGCGGGGCGCAGTCTCTGACCTCAGCCCCGTTCGGGGTGAGTTCTCAGACTGTGACCAAATGAAGGCCAGCCAACACCAAGACCATGGCGAAGAAACCGTAATCACTGTGGCTAGATCTGGCCTCCAGAGCAACGTGGATTCTTGGGCCACGCAGCAGGCCCAGGATCCTTGCAGTGGCTCTTAGAGAGGACCGTGTACGTGGAGTACACTCTGGGAGCACTCCACGTGCACGTTCTTGAGGGTTGCTCATGAACCATCTTCACAGGCGAGAAACCAACGTCTCGCCTTCCATTTTTCACCCTTGCCATACGTATCTACTGGTTCACATCCTGTATCCCCTTCCACACAGCACAAATTTGCTGTCGCAATTGGTCTTTGCAAATTGAAGGCTTTTTCAGTGTAACATGTTCCAGATGGGGTAGCGGGGAGAACTAGGAATCCTCTCCAAGACCACTCCCCAGTTTGGATCAGCTGGCCTTGAAGGAAGCCGAATAAGATGCTATTTGTGAAGTACTAGTGAAACTAGCAACGTTAGGAAACACAGAGTTGAAAGTGAGAAGAAAAGAACTTTGCTACACCAAAGAAACTACTCTGGAATCTAACCAATCATAACCGCCTTAGAGAGTGAACTGTGTTTCCCTCCCTAAGCTGTCACTTCAACCTCATGACCGGACTGCATTTCTCAACGAGCTAATTTCACATTTTTCCAGAGAGATGAGAAACCTTACTGTGTGGTAAATCGCACAAACAGGCCCATTTTTCACCAATTAATCTCTGCCCACAGCCATGACCTAAAACAGACCATTTTCGTATATGGTTGTAGTTCACATGCATAGCAAAAGTCACTGAGAAATTAGCACAAGAATTTAACCAAGGCCGGGCGCGGTGGCTCAAGCCTGTAATCCCAGCACTTTGGGAGGCCGAGACGGGCGGATCACGAGGTCAGGAGATCGAGACCATCCTGGCTAACCCGGTGAAACCCCGTCTCTACTAAAAATACAAAAAATTAGCCGGGCGTGGTGGTGTGTGCCTGTAGTCCCAGCTACTCGGAGGCTGAGGCAGGAGAATAGCGTGAACCCAGGAGGTGGAACTTGCAGTGAGCCAAGATGGTGCCACTGCACTCCAGCCTGGGCGACAAAGCGAGACTCCGTCTCAAAAAAAAAAAAAAAAGAATTTAACCAAAATGAAAAAGTTCCAGAATTCCCTTTCCTTTGCTTTTCCTTTTCTAATGGATTACCCAAATGCTTGTCCTAAAAGATAAAAATTCAAAAGGTCTTTTTATCCCCATGACAAAAGAAAAAAAATGTTCATTTCAGCAAAACTCAGGAAATACATTTTTTATATGATGTGCATAGAACTCATTACCACCAGTTGAAGATTAAAGTAAAAAACAATGGATACATTTTGAGTTTGTACAAAAGGGCATGACAAAACTAGCACCAGCATTATTGAAATTCCCGTTATAAATTCCATAGGAAATAATAAATTGATTTGGAAATTAGAACAAATTCAGATTAAAAGGTGTGTGTGTGTGTGCTTGTGCGTGTGTGTGCATTTAATCTGAAGTTGTCATCTAAGGTAGGATTGGCATATGGTCATGGAAACGGTAGGGGAGTAGAAATCCAGTTTTGTGAGTTTTTGTCTGGGCCTAGCCATTCATACCCTGACATTAAGCAATCCTATAACTCTTACTGGCCTTGTTCTTTTCAAATATAAAATGAAGCAATTAATTTAGCTAACCTTTGAAATCCCTTCTAGTCTTAAAAAGCTCTGATTTCTGTATGCCAAAGATACATAGGCATCCTTAAGACTCACCTTTCAGGTTGCCAATAGTATAATAAAAGTAAGAGCCAATAGCAAACTTTTATATTATTTATACTACCAAACTCTCAGTGTTGACAAGTAAAAATAAAGGGATTGTATCAAAAGACTGTTTTCTGAAAAATAAAATCCAAAGCTCTCTTCACAAAATTGTCTTCTCAATTCTCTAGCCTTCTTTTAGCTGTCATTCAGGTTTTTATAAGGCTACAAGCCCAACTCTTTCAATAACCCATACTCGGAGTGCATCCCTCTGAAGGCCAACCTAGCACCTGAAAAATTTCTAAAATAAAATGTAAGGACGTGACCAAAGACCATCAGAAGTTTACTTAACTAAAAATATGCACAAAAAGAATGAGCTAGCTATGTTTATAGCAACTCCCTTCTCTGTTTACAGTCTTTGTCAAAGATTATTACTAGGCCGCATTTCTTAGAGGTCAAATTATTTAATTATTCCCTTGCCAAACTTAAACAACCAATAAAATTACTTAGTTCTTTAGGTTCAAGAATTTATGACCATTAACTGTCATAAAAAAAAAACTAAAGTCACAGTATACCTTTGACTTTTCCCAGCGCTCTACCCCAGCCTCATTTTACCTGACTTTGCCTTCCCTCACGTCTTTTTTTTTCTTTTTTAATTATTATTATACTTTAAGTTCTGGGATACATGTGCAGAACGTGCAGGTTTGTTACATAGGTACACACGTGCCATGGTGGTTTGCTAAAGTCGTCATCTACATTAGGTGCCTTACCTCACGTTTTGACCCATGATCTCTCCACTTCTTAATGAATCTTTCCCCTCTCCTGGTTTACCATGACATGGGATCCTGGGTCTTACCACCCCACTCCCAAGTCATTTTAGGACAATGCAAGCCCCTATGTATTTCTTTTTTTCTAATTTCTCAGGATAAAGTGGTCTGACACATTTTAAATATCAAAGAAACTCAGAAATAGGCAGTAAATTAACCAGTATCATTGAGATTCCACATTTATAAAACTAGAGTCATCCCTGAAGATACATGCAAAACCTTACAAGGTTTTTCAAAGAATTAAATAATTAACATTTACAACCTTATATTTAAAAGTAAAAATGGACAAGCTTTTCTCTAGCATAAAAAAGAATCATTGTTTTCCATGTACAGTGGCAACTCTGTTGCCTAAGTATGTTAACAATACCTATGTTCCTTCCAGCTAATACTCATCTCAGAATCTGAGCCTCATTTTGACTCACTCTTTTAATTCCTTTCAACAAGTAGCTATTTAGTTCCCACTATATGCCACAGCTTTGTGCTAAATGCTATTTAGAACATTTTTTAAAACTGTAACAGTTCCTTCAGAGCTTTCTCAGAGCTGCAACTTTATCTAAGAGATAGAACCTCTGCACATAAACTATTAAATAGCACAAAAGAATAAATATGTGATTAAGAACTGTTGAGAGCGGCCGGGCGCGGTGGCTCAAGCCTGTAATCCCAGCACTTTGGGAGGCCAAGACGGGCGGATCACGAGGTCAGAAGATCGAGATGATCCTGGCTAACACGGTGAAACCCCGTCTCTACTAAAAAAAATACAAAAAACTAGCCGGGCGTGGTGGCGGGTGCCTGTAGTCCCAGCTACTTGGGAGGCTGAGGCAGGACAATGGTGTAAACCTGGAGGCGGAGCTTGCGGTGAGCCGAGATAACGGCCACTGCACTCCAGCCTGGGCGACAGAGCGAGACTCCCTCTCAAAAAAAAAAAAAAAGAAAAGAACTGTTGAGAACAATGTATTAGGACTATTAAAAAAGAAGAAAATCATTTTCTTCTAGGGTGCCCCCACTGTGTAGTTCTCAGCTTTTTCTCACAGTTTCTCATTCTTCTAGTTCCATTTCTCTCTCTTACAGTCTTCCTTCTTTCTCTCCCCAACATCTGTCCAGATGGCTGTCTTCTGATCTCTCTCCTCTTTCCCCTGACCTCTCTCTTTCATCTCTGTATTATATTCCCTAACTTCTTTTACTTCTTCAGTTTTCCTTCGTACCATCCCCCCTCCACCAGCATTTAATCTGTCTCCATTAATGAATGCATTCATTCATTCAGTATTTATTATGTGCCTGGTGTGCTAGATGACAAAGACATAATGGTGAAGATGTGGTTCCTTAGTCTAATGAGAGCAAGACAGTAAGAAGACTGTTACAGCCCATTGTAACAGGAGCTGTGATACAGAGGTAATAATCCTCAGTGTACTCTGTGATCTCAGGAACCCAGACTACAGTAGGAGTAGCAGGTAAGGAGTAATTCTCTGGAGGACTCAGAGAAACTGATTTCTAGGCTTGATATTAAAAGGTAAATGGAAGTTACCTAAGTAAAGTAAGGAGAAAAAATAATCTGGGCAAAGGAAGCAAGCAGTGCAAAAATCTAAAGGAATGCAACTATAGTGCATTTGGATAACTCAAGTATCCTATGGCGTAAGTGTAAGGTATGATGGGACTACAGAGATGGTGTGGCCCTACTAATGGAACTGGAGTTTGTTACCATTTGTTACATAAAGGTTTATGTTCTTTTATCGTATTTGCTTATTTACATGGCTCCCTCTGCAATATATTCTTCAAACAAGAATTCTCTCTTATTCAATCTTAGCTCAATCTTCATGCCTAACCCAGTACTTAACCTACAGCAGGTCCTCAGAATTTTTCAAGTGTGTTGATATTTCTCAAAACTATTTTAATAAATCAGACTTTAACTGTACTTCCTTTGATTTTTAGCTTTATTAGTCAATGACTTTTAATAGAAAACTCAGAATATAATAGAAAAAA